ATAGATTTGGAGTGTTATCGGTATCTCCGAGATAGACAGGGAGAGTGAGACAGAGCGAATAAAGATGCAGGCATTTGTTTGACAGCCATAAGGCTCCAGGTGGATCTCTCTTCAGGTTTGTTTGTGAAGCCATGGAGAAAGCAGATTTGGCCTGTGGCAGGACAGCTGAGAGGAAAGAGAGACAGAATCTAATGGAAGATAGTAAGCAAGGTGCTGTGTAAAAAAAAAAAAAAAAAAAAGCTGCAATAGCAAAACAAGAAGAGCATGACAATGACACAAGTGTAGCGTTTTCTGTCAAAGCAAAGCACTGAGGAAAAGAATGTGTATGCTGGCAGATAAAGCAGGTGAGATAAACCGGAAAAGAGATATGAAAGAATGAAAAAGAGGAGTTGAATAAAAAATAAGTGAATATGTGATGTGGTAAAGGGCATCAGGTGGGATAAATCAGGAACGCTGTGTGGACTTACTGTCATTGATCACCCTGTTATTGCTTATTTTCCTATAACAGTATCCCCCTAAGTGTTTTATTCCTCTTATACTACATCAATTTGACAACACTTACATTATTTCATTAATTAAAGAATGAAAAACATTGTTAATACAAAAAAAGAGCAAAGCCTTGGATCTCGGAGACTTCCCTGGAGTGAAAACTTACTGAACATTACAAAGCACTGACACTCCTTCCACTGACACGGAGACTCCTTCTATAAATATTAAACATATCCTTACAGAATCTTTACAGTGATTTGAATTACAGCCAGAGCTACTTTCAAAGCTGCTGTTATAGAAAATGAATCAATGCCTTCTGAGCAACCAGAATCAAGAATCCACAAGTGCTGTGGTATAAGGTGAAATTCAATGATAGGTCCAGAACACAAAGATTGAAGGCTAAGAGGAAACAGGACTAAAGAAAGGAATAAAGCTATGGAGTTACCACGCGCTGTTTGAAGCTGGGTTTCTGCAGGATCCACTCGATGTCCAGCGTCTGTCCATTTGACTGCCGGAACTGGTGATGGCACGGCAGCGTCGTGTTGTCCCCAACAACCTTCTTCATTTCTGTCTGAGCCCCGGCAGAGAGCACACTGAGCAGCACTGCACAAATCATACACACACACACACACACACAGAGAAGAATGCTAAGAATGGCTGAAAATTTTAAAGAGAGGCCATAATTGCCACACTAACACTGAAATCCCTTTATTTCCTTTTTTACTATTTTTGGAACACTGCAGTAGAACATCTCTGCAGCTGATGATAAAACCACCAAACCAACACTTCACACTTTTGCTTGGAACACAACTCCTCCGTTTTTATAAGGATAACTATGATAAGAGACTATGTGAGGGGACACATTAAAACCTAAGACCACTCAACCATAGTAGGTAACAACATTTTCATTTTCACTCGATGGGGATGGAGTCACCACTGAAAGACACCACTCCCATCAGGACAGAAAGATGATCAGTCAGAAGAACTCTGTATTGATTTGTCCTTCGAAGAGGACAACTGGACATAAGCCTGTCAGCAAAACACCCCCTCACTTTAGAGGTCAAACATTCAAGCATGTATGTTTCTCTTGGTGTACGCTGCACGTATTATTGAGAATATGCTGAAGGACTGCTCATCTATCTATCTGTACCACTTTTTTCCCTACATCTTTGTAGACCTGTGGTTTTGTACCACCGAACTCTCAGATGTGTATTCGTCTTTGCAACTACGGGTCCAAGCACTGCAACCCTACCATAATATTACTCTGTGTAGTTGTACATGGACAGTTGTTGTTGATGGTCTTATCGCATCCTGTGCCTTTTCCCAGGCATTAATCTCAGTCACACAAACACACGCACAAGCATCACGTCATTGACTGTGCACTTTTCAATTACCGTAATTTCCAACCTATTTTTACTTTCACCATATACCTAAATGCAGATGTCTCTTTAGTCACTGTTTATATTGATTCACAGCCAACTGAACAGGGTTTGTTACTGAAGCTTATTGATATTTATTATCCAATACTGAACCCTGTTTCCAAGTCATATTTTTTTTTCCATATTTTTGTTTATGACACACATAAAGACAAGATGAATGCCTATGAAGTAGGGGCTGCACGACTATTAATTTCTACTAGTTTAACCATTAATTCCAAAAAGCTGTCGACTAGTCATCTTTACTATAGCTATAGAAATTCAGGACATCATTATTTTTAGGCTGTTGTATTAATGCATTTAAATGCTGATAAACGACAGCAAAAAAAAAAAAAAAATGCATCAAACTGAATTTTAATTAACAGCCACACTCAGGCTACAAATGACATCTCCAGCTTCAGTGCTTTTTCAGTCGACACTCTTAACGATGAAAATAAATAAATGTGAAAACAATAAGTTTGAATAATAAATCAGTCAGAATTCTTGCACACACTTTTACATTTAAGCATAAAAATGATGTGGAAATTATGTTCCATTAAAGCAAAAGGAAAAAAAAACAAAAAACTTGGCATAGTCCTAGCACAGACATACACAAAGTTGGAAACTTAGCTTGTAAGTTTTTTTTTTTTTGTTTTTTTTTAAACGAGTGAATAGGAATTAATGACCCTCTGTGGAATGCATTTATGAAAAGCTCTCACTTCCTGCTTTGCCTTTGTTAGATTTTATGCACAACAAGAAGTCAAAGTTGATTTTGATGCTGTCAAGTAGAAGAGATATTTTTCAGTAACAGGGCTTTGAGGCAAAAGGCCACAAAAAAGAACAACAGTAAGTATTTCAAGATCAAGAATTCTGTCAAGCACATGAATCACAGAAAGCTCAGAAAAGCACAGATAGCATTACCATTTTCATCATCGTCTTGAGTGACTAAAACATTTCCTCTGGCTAAGTTATAAACGGCTCAAAAGATCAAAACACAGTTGTTTTTTCCCCACATTTAAAATGATGGACTGTAGCACTTACACAGATTAACACTTTTTTTTAAAAATACATATTATGGTCTTTTTTCCTCTCAGTGCTACTAGCACATTTTCTAAAACCAGTGTTACTGTCTCAAAAAGCTAGCCTAAAATCATGCGATGTAAACATATGCTTAAGAGTGTTACTTTATATGAACTGCATATAGTATATTCACAAAATCCCACAAAGAAACTTAAATTATGTCTTATCTCAACAACATCCAGCAGTCAAAATCAAGTTAGAAACACATTAGCTAGCTCAGAAGTCTGTAGGCTCAAGGCTGACTACAGGGATGCTAATTTATTAGCGCCCGTGAGGTAGCGCAGGATGCTTGACAGGCTGCACAGGCAGCCATAGGTTTATGCTCCCTCAGGAGCAGAAAGGGTACCTGATTTTCCCCACCTGATGAATACAGAAAGAAAAGTGCAAGCAATGCACCGTAGCTTCGGGCGTTTATGTGCAGATTCAGCAGATATTTCTGGAGCGCTGGTATTAGCATAAGTACAGCACTTAATCTTCAGAACAGCCTAGCCACAGTAACAAAATAACGTCTGAAATAGAGCCAAGAGAGGTGCGTTCTGCTTGTGACATTTTCTCTACACAAACTCCATGACATTGTGCGATGGCACTGTAAATGCTTAGCGGAGAGCACTTAAAAGCTTGATAATGACTGAAAGGTTTGGTGAATGACATAGCTAGCATGTGTGTAGCAGAGATATTATGATAAGTTGCAGGAGGTTGTGGGTTTAACCTTTAACCTCACCATATGTGTTGGTTAAAAAAAAACTAGTTTTTGTTTTTAAAGTGGTAGAACGGGCATGAGTCAATCATGGAGCTTTTTGGACTGGACTGAGTGATATATTTGCAACAAAGCCCTTAAGTTATGAAAACCGAACCGAAACCGAAGTTACAGTATAAGTGAAACATGTGCAAGAAAAAAAAAACAAACTAATGGTCCACTTAAGGAACCTTAAGGCTGTCATTAAGAATTTCCACCTTAATTGCTTAAGTGTTCCCTTAAGTTCTGTTATGCATTGCTACAAAGTCCTTAGTAACCATTTCACCCTAAAAAAAAATTAAGGGGCCAAAACAGGTGAACTAAAGCTGAACTCAAACGCAATGGCTGATTTCGTGTTAATTGAAAAGGAGGCGGTACTGAGGCACATCCTTATATTTGTTAAACTGTATCAAACCAAGTGCGCTATATATCCAGTCACGTAAGTCAATTTAGCTTGAATGTAACTCACTGAATGTAACTCTCCTACTTTTTCCCAATTCCTTTTTATGATTGTTTATTGAACTTTTCTTGAACTCACAACTACGTTTTCATATTTGTTCATCGCTTCTTCTACTGTGCGCTTGACAGCAAGATTGCTTGAATTCATTTTTTTCTGTTATCTCATGCCAGGCTTTTGTTTGTTGCAATGCTCTTAAAGAAATCCCTTGCTTCAGGGATTTTTTTTTACCCCACAGGGATACCTTTAAGTCAATCCACTTAAGTGTTTTCATGCAACCAAGTGCTAGACAGCAGGAAGTGAATCTAATTAGCAAAAGTTATTTCAAGAAGCCAGAGGTAGGTAATTACCAACTACAATTACTCTGTGACAGTTACAAAAGTAACTTTTTATGAATAGACTGTGCATGTGAAACTAGTATTAACCCCTCTTGATCCATTCAGTTATGTACAGTGAAACTATAGAAAATGATGGGAAGTGTGTGGATTTACTACTTTTCCCTCTTGCATAAATATATACAGCTCCAGGGTTCTGGGTTTGATCCTATGCTCATATATTCTGCATGTGTCCATGTGGGATTCCTTCACTGTTAGCACAAGGATTTAACATTCACAAAACTATTATATTGTTACTAGTAAGTTGTTGCTGTTCTTCTTCTTTCAGCTGCTCCTGTTAGGGGTCGCCACAGCAGATCATTGGTCCCCATATTTGGAACAGTTTTTACACCGGATGCCCTTCCTGACGCAATGCTCCCCAATTTTATCCGGCTTGGGACCGGCACTGGGAGTGCACTGTCTTGTGCAACCGCAGTGGCTGGGGTGGGCTCCCTGGCTGGGAATTGAACCCGGACTGAGGCGGTGAGAGCGCAAGGGCCTAACCGCTAGTCCTCCAGGGACCCCCAGTAGTATTACTAGTAAGTATTACTACTATAATTATGTAGAGTTCTTTATGGTGTACAAAAGCCACTGTATAAAAGTGATCTAGTTTTGACAAGATACTCCATACAGTGGAGGTAATGTTCATATTTTTACTATAAGATTATCTGAGACAATAAAACTAATTACATACTAGACAATTTCAACCAGTCTTTCCACCACTCATCAAACCGTGTCCTGGATTCTAAAGCTTCAGCCAAAGCAGGGATATATATCTGCGGAGAACCCGTGGAGCTCTATATCCCAAGGTCATTATCATACGTCACATTAAGGTGATATTTGTGTTTTATGTGAGCCATTAAGAGACATGTCTCTTTCTCTCTTTAGCAGCATGGAGCTGAGTGAAAAGCATGACTCAGCAGACTGCAGCAGAGAGGAGCTTCCTCTGCATCCGTCCCTGCTCATGACTTTTTAATGCTCCTCTTGGACCCACATTTATTTTACGCACTCTGTGTTGCTAATCGCTAATATGGGTTTCGATCACTGAGCTAGGTAATTTCTGTAAAGGAAAGGGCAGATACCATTCCAGAAGAAACATATCGAACTGATTTAGCTCGGTGTAACTGATTGCTTAGTGCTCTGTTCTCTCTCGTCTTTCCGATTCATCGTAGCAAAGGTCTTAGTAACGAATTCACCTTGTCAACGCTACACTAATTGATACCTCAGTGGTTCCTCAATCCTTGATTTGAAAATCAATTGAATGTCACCTTCTTTAGAGACATCTCAATTCTTCAAATGGGTCAAAGAACAAGCAAAGAGGATGCTACTTGATCGCCTTGCTGTGGTTAAAGGATATTGGACCTGGGATTAAAAAAATTATAATAATCAATAACATGAATTTGATTTAAAGTCACGGTTCGGCATGTCTCTACACACATCTGTTGCGTGTTCAAACTTAATCATCTGAGGAGGTTCGAACTGTGACACAATCACTACCATTGTTCCGTCTAGCCTTATCTTTGCTATCAAGTCTGAATGTTTTCATAATTGTAAACCATGACTCCTTTTAGATTTGGCATTCTGACTTAACTACGTTTTGAAGCCAGAAGAACATTATGAACTTGAAACGCTTAAAAAATATACATAAATCACAAATGAGTCCTTGTGATATAATGCATTGCTCTACTATTAGATTCACTGTCGAGCTATTAATAGATACTGGATTTTCACCTTCCATTTAATCTCTCTCCTCATTTGCCACTGGTTAAATATGGTTTTAGAGGCAGTTCTCATACATTTAGGAAAAGCCATCAAACCAGATATAACTACTGAATGTTTTTTTTTTTTTGAGTTGGTAATGAGTATATCCATGAGCACAAAAGAATGAATAATCAAAAATAGTCCAAAAATGCTAGCCTTACTAAAAATAAATGAATACTATAATGACAATGACCTGCTCGCAATATGGTAATGAGGACCCTGGCATGGATTTAGCCAAGTTAACATTTTTGAGATAAAGTGTTCTTCCACTCACACAAGCACAGAAACTTTCCAAAAAAGAACAAGAGGACACTTGTCTTGTGTGTGTGTGTGTGTGTGTGTGTGTGTGTGTGTGTGTGTGTGTGTGTGTGTGACAAATGTGTTGGTTCATTCTGCAGTCAGGAGTATCTGGAACTTTTTACCCATCAAACGTTTCAGACAGGCTACGCTTAAACCATAACCAGTTACGACTGCATATTAAAACATTCTGAACCACAATGTTGAGATTTCAATTCTTGGAATGAAATCTGAATTTAATTTGGAATGAAAACTTTAATTTAGTCATCCACTGGGGGAAATGTAATGTCCAGGCTGATGAGCCGTAGCCAGCAAAGGGGTGTGTAGGGATGGTGAAGTGTAATGCTTCGCATGTGTGTAAACATGGGCTGTCTGGTGACGGGTGGTCCACACACACACACACACACACACACACACACATGGGCTGACTCATTTGGCTTGGCTCTGCATTTTGTGTGCACATCCAAGTGGTTTGGACACATGTGGCCACATGGTTGATTGAGAAAAAACATGTTTTGCATATTTGCAGGTTGCTTTAACCTTGTGAGAGTATGAGTAATATCATGCGCCTTTCCTCTTTCTCCTCTCTCGCTTTGTCTGTTTGTCCTCTCCTGTGACCTGTCCATGTGTCCACCACGCCTTCCATGCTTAGCCAAGCTGTATCTGGCTCTGAGCTTGAGAAAGTAACAACTCCGAGGGAAAAGGAGAAAGGAAAGCAGACAATCAAATAAAGAAAGAACGAAAAAAGAATATAGTCTGCAAGAGAGAGAGAGAGAGAGAGAGAGACAGAGAGAGAGAGAGAGAGAGATAAAATGAGGAACAGAGTTTCTATATAAGTGCCCTTGGGGAAATTGTGCTGCAGTAAATCCCTCCTACAATCTTATTATAGAGCATCTCTCCATCCCACTGTACCCGATTTACCAGCCTGCCCTTCATCACCACCATCGCCATCTTCTCTATCCAGACTCTTTCACTCATAACACACAGCTTCTGTACCTCTGGCAACAAAATGACAAAACTGCAGGAGCAATTTAAGACATTTCATTTCTGCACAGTGCTCATATGTAGTGCGGAGTACATCGAAAGGTACCTCATCAAAAGTACAATGTAAATAAATGTGGGAAGTTACAATATATCGAGTGCATGCTGGTCATATGAATGCATTCTCTCCATGAAAGAATGCATTCATGTGACCAGCATACAATGTTTACAATATTAAACCTCTGTTCATAGCAAAGATCTGCACTTGTGAAGTCCGATAGCCAGATAGCTTCGGATTGAAACGACCAACATGCATTATACATTATACATTTACATGACCACGTTATATAACAGTTAAAAAAGAGCTCTTCAGTAGATTTCAAACAACACCAGAGGCTGCGGACATCGGGCATTTTAGCTGACTTTGGAGCTCTATTTCTGCTATGGAGCTCATTATGTTTCATCAGACATTTAGTTTATTCAATCAGAATTTTTGTGAGAATTAATAAATTTAGGTTTAAGATATGTTGAACCTGTAAGTACATTCTGTTTACAATATTAAACCTTTTTAAAAATTTTAATTTATTTAGTTTTATACAGACAAAAATGCACATTGTTTTGCAGTCTTTTAAGTCATATTTTTTCTTTATTCAAATTTTGTTTAAAATATTCTGAGAATCAAATTGAAAGTAAACCATGAAGCCAGTATCATGAATCGAATCGAATCATAACTGGGGTGTATCTTTACACCTCTAATATAAACCTTGCAACCAGAACTACTGTCAGAGATGCCCTTATGGAAATTTAATCAGCATCTTCTGAGCAATCAGAACGGAGAATTCAACAGCAACATGGTATAAATACATATAGTATATGAATGCTCTGATATATGGTTATAGTATGTTATAGTGTATATACTATAGTATATAGTATACCATATATAGTATATGGTTATCTTTAGTATATTGGAATTGTGTGAAAGGCTAACTTCTCATTTTGTCATATATTGCCTTAGTAACATCCTCTTGGGGAAAATCTGAAATCTTTATACCTCTCTAGTGAATAGAAATACCACAGCAAGAATACAATAGATTTCACAGCCATTAATACGTCTTGCTCACTGTCTTCCTTCAAATCCTGTACACAGTGAAAGCTCAAACACTTCACTCAAGGTAAATGGGAGTCAGAGTGACCATTTACTGTTTCAATATTCCATATTGCAACATCTAGCACTGTGTGTAATTATGAACATTTCAATATTTCTCACAGGCATGATGTCAGTTGCTTGAGCCTGCATCAATGTTAGCATTTTAATGACCAAATTGGGTTGGCAGATGAGATATTTTTTTTAATTGCATCCATTTTCAGCGTCACATCACTGCAAAAATGTAATGCATGCATTATTTTTTTCCGCTTATGCTTTACCACATTTTTTTCACTTCCAAAAAAAAAAAAAAAAGAAAGAGTCCTTAAAGTGTCCTTCATATTTTTTTTCTTTCTCTCACCTCTCTTGCCATTTGTTCATTCTGATAGACCTGCTAGAGGAACTGAACTGAAATTGCCCTCTTTTTATTTCTCCCTCTTTCCCTAATGGATTAATGGGAGGCTAAGGCGCTCTCAGTGATGTGCGATGGAGAGATGACAGAGGACAATCGCCGCTCCGCTTCAGTGGGTGACACTGATTTACAAGCTAAGCTCTCTTTATTACACTCATAGCAGGAGAAGGTTCACGTATTGACAGGAGCTGTGCATGTGTTCATTGCACATGCTGGGGCATGGAGAGCACACACACACACACACACACACACAGAGTCTGGTCACTTACATGGACCTGCATATGTGTGCACTCTGAGTCACATTTAGATGCTGTAGATGTGTACATGCATATGTACAGCACACCTTGAAGGACATACTGTCAAGTGCAAAAGTTTGCAAACTCTCAGGACAAAATGAAGAAGACAGAAGCATAATATGTGTATAAAGCAGCAAGAGATGTGCATGTTTCTCAGCCTTCAACTTTCTTTGTATCCACTGCACAGCTTGTGGATTCTCTCTGTTGTAAATTCTCTCTAGCCACATTTTTCCTGACATCTGTGTTATAACTAACAAGTCATACACTACCTTTTGTAAATCAGGTCTAAAGAAACAGAGGGTCTGATTTATTTTATTTACATTTTAGATCATATTGTTTCATTATACATCCACTGTTTCATATTCTTTTCTGTGAAGTAAAAAAAAAAAAAAGACATGCAATTTCCTTTTCCCCCACTGAAACATCATGAATGATGTATTGTATCTTAACTGTATTCTAGGCACTTGGATGTGCATGCATCCATATGGTAGACATACACACCAGACACAATATGCTTAGTGTATATAGAGTGCACATTTATGCACTTGTCAAAGTATACACACTTTAATCAGTCACAAATCTGCCTAACATCCAAGTCTAAATGATATGTGTATAGCCTAACAGTTTATG